CCCCATAACTTTGCGAGGAAAAGCTTGTACGTGGTTTTACTCCGTGGCCCCAGCAACTGTCGATAGTTTTGACACATTAAGTAGGCAGTTCCTGGTTCACTTCTTTAATAACAGGGTAGCAGTGCGCTCCTTTGCGAGCTTGTTGGCCGTAAAACAAAAACCAAATGAAACTTTACGGCAATACCTGAAACGATTTAAAGCGACCGCTCTGGAGATTAAAGACCTCAACACAGAGTGCGCCATCCAAGCTTTCACTTTTGGGGTTAGACATTATCACCTTAAATACTCTTTGACAGAAAACAAACCTGAGCAGTTGTACCAGCTTTATGAGAGAGCTCAAAAATTTGCTGAAGCTGAGGAACTTAGAGATGCAGAGAGAGCTGAGAGGCATGAACAGCGCCCTAAGTGTCTGCGAGGTTATAGCAGGCGGACAGGAACACCCAGCCAACGGTTACATGGCAACCGCCAATCTCTAAACCAGTCTAAGAGAAAAGCTTGGCAGAACAATACCAGCCGGAACTCCCAGCCACAACCCAACCACTACCAAGCCTCAAATCGATCCGTCAACTCCATTACCCAACGATTTGCCCAGAGAACCAACCAAAGACCTAGCCAGGCTAGGCTTGCCTCTAGAAGACCGAACAACCAACCTCCACCAAAGAGATATTGCAATTATTACTCAACCGGGGCACTCCTGTAACGAATGCATAGCAATTCAAAAAGAGATTGAAAGGCTTAATTAACAGCCTACTTGCTCACCATGACGAGTATCAGAATAATCCACCACCCTGCCTACCAAGAGATATGTCTATCCGCCAAGTTCTTTATATCAAGAAAAAGAAACTTGTCAGGCGAATAATAAAATGGAATGTCAAGCTCAACAAGTTTCATATATCCAAACATACTAATAATCACTAATATATATGAGCTATTTTAATTGAAGTATATTACATTTGCCAGAATCACCTTAATTATCACCTTAATAATCATCTCAAACAAAACTAATCTACGTGAACTAATTATAAGGGAAAGTATACAAATCAAGAACCAATATATAGTCTTAAACAATTGTTTTATTCTATGTTCCATGGATTTGGGTATGAGTATAGTGTGATTTAAGTGATTGATTCTTTTCTCGCTAAAAGTTTTAGACTAATAGAATCAATTAAAAAATAAAAAATAAGATAAAGAATACGTTTTATGATAATGTTATAAAAAATAATATATAAAAATTGAAAGTCCAAAACTGATATTTAGCATAAACGTTTAGATTTTATTCCATGCAAAATTAACTTGGAGTCTTGAAGGCTGAAAGATGAAAGTCTTAAATACTTATTGGGCCTGTGCTGACTAATAGTCAAAGTTAAGCTTACAAAAACACCCAAAACCCAAAACTTTGACTAAGAATCATCAGCACTTTTAATTGCATCTATAATATCCACATGCCATTTTGTTTTTTCTTCTCCTTTTCCTTTCTTGTTTCGCGTCTGTCTGTAATTTCACAGCTCCTCTTGTAACTTATTAGTTTATCATCTCTTCTCTTCTCTTTCTGTTATGACAAGCATGGATCACCAATTGTACACATGTTTTTGAAATTGACCAGTGTCCAATTAAAAGTGCAGTCAAAGTCCACTTTGCTGAATTTTTTAACCAAATATCTATTCCTCACCTGCCAAGATAGTGTTCAAACATTCTCAATTTTCAATTTGACTGGAAATCCAACCTCATGTCTATAGATTTTTATTTCAATTTCATTTAGGTGTATAATACTAACAATCAGTTTCCAACTAACCGATGGAGGATATCAAATAAAAAGCCAGCCCCTCTCAATTCAGTGAGAATTGCTTGGTACTTACGAAGTAAGGAAATTTTATATTTTTCTACCAATTATAGCAAGACTAAACGAATTATTTTTTATATATTAATTGTTTTTACAAAACACGGTTTAAAACTAAAATTATATATTTTTTGAACAAAAAAAATTAACTATAGATGTTTGGAATAAAAACACGGTTTCGTTCGTGTTCTTTAAATTGATTTATAATTATAAATAATGATAGAACGAGAACAAACGGTGAAAAAAAATAAAAAAAGAACATTATTCAAAAATAAATTTAATAATTTAAAATATGACATAATGATATAATAAAAAAATTATATAAATAAAATGTATAAAGATAATACAACTTAAAATTTTTTAAAAATCATAAATAAATTTAATAAAATAAAAAAAATTATATATGAATTATGATACGTCATTTTCATATAAATTACGATATAAATATAATATTTTATACATTACAACAATACGAATTATTGATCCATCTAGAAGAAAAAAATAATAAAAAATTTAAACAACTTTAATTCAAAATGAAAATGATGGAAAGCAAAAAGAGCCAAAATGATTGAAGGAGACAGAGCTACAAAGGGGTTTCCTTGATCAATGCAATGTAAAGAAGAAAGAGAAAACAAAGCTCGTACCAAAAAGGTTAAAAGAGGTCAAACGACGCGTTTTAACAACCTGTTCTTAGAATACATTCACATTTACATCCCATCGCCACGATTTTGCCTTAAAAAGTGTATTATTCCTTAAAAGTAATACTATTACCTTTAATTTTTCATTAAAATAATTTGATATCATTCTCCATCTATAATCTATACTATTATAAAATCATAATTCCATTGATGTTACGATTCAAATGATATTAACTCAATTGAAAATTTGACATAAAATTAAATACCTTTTTAAACATATTTTTATAAAAAAAACCCACATAAAGTTAATTTTTTTTCGATTGTAACAAGAAAATAAGCTTGATTTCGAAATAGATAGCATTTATGTTTCTTCAAGGAACTTAAAACTCTTGCGTGAATAATTAGGATCTACTTTTAATTAAAAGGCTTGCTTTGCATGATTCGCTTATTGAAGTCAATGTCATGGCCAATGGCATTCTCTAGGTTTTAAAATAATTAATTTTAAAGTTCAAATTAGTCTCATCATTTGTGGCTTTTCCCTAACTGTATTTTGGATTTTCTTCAATTGCATATGCTACTTCATTAATTTATGTGTGAGTAGATTGGTTATAATTTTTAGGGTTAAATAATTAATTTATGATATGTACAACTGTTAATTACTAAAATTAATTTTTAGGGTTTGTTTAAATAATAAATTTATCCAATCGGGTCTACAAATTATTGCACTTTTATTATATGTAAATTTGAAGTCAATTTTGAGCTACATATGCAATATGAATGATATAAATTTATATATTGACCAAGACTTCTAATCACAAGGAAAATCAAAGCTTTAGCTTTTTCAGATTTGGGTTTCATCAGCAAGGGAAAAAGGAATGTAAAAAAAAAAATAAAAGAAACACATTTTGGAAGGAATCGAAAGGAAAATGCAAAGATACTTCCTTCATTGGACCATTATTGCAAAAGGCTGAGAATTCAACATATTTTTAAAGTCCAATCAAAAGTTAAACGCGGTTTTACTTTTATATTTTATATATATGTTTATCTGCTCCTCCTTTGGCTTCTTCTTCTGATGGAGAATTAGTTGAAATAAAACAAAATATATTAAAAAAATTCAAACAAAATAAAAAATTTGGTCACCAAATAAAACTTCTGCAACTTACATGAAGTTTCTTTAAAGTTTAGAAAATTTTAATTTTGAAAAAAAAAAATTCACAAACTTCAACAATTTGACTAAATATTTTTTTTATTGATTCTTAATGTTTTATCAAGCTATAATAAAAAAAATACATTATAAATGAAGAAAACATGTTTTATTTTGCCTTTGCATCATCAATTTTTCATTTTTGAATTAGTATTATTAAAAATGTCAACGATAGAGTTTGTAAATTTCCAAGCAAGTTTATATAATTATTATCATGTATACATTAAATAATTAAAATTATTCATATATATGTTTATCTGGTCCTCCTTTGCCTTCTTCTTATGGAGGACTAATTGAACATAAAATAAAATAAAATAAAATATATGTAAAAGTCAAACAAAATAAAAAAAAAACTAGGTCATCAAAGAAAATTTCTACTTTATATATATATATATATATATATTATAAATATATAACACAATTTACATGAAATTTCTTAAAGTTTAGAAAGTTTTTAGTTTTTAAAAATTGATATTTGAGAGTCTTGGTTGTATAATTCGAGGTAATAATATTTTATTTTACACTGCATTTTAATTTTGTATTAAAATTGAAAATTAAAACAATCTATAAATGCAATTTGTTAAATGATTTAGTACAAAAATTTTTAAATAGGTATTTACCTTTAATTGTTTTATTATTATTATTGAAGTGTATAGATTTATTAATTTTAAGTTTATTTTCAATGAGTATTCAATTATTTAAAAAAAAATCACAAACCTCAACAATTTGACTAAGTTTTATTCTTTTTTTTTTTATTCTTAGTGGTTTGCCAAGCTATATTAAAAAGTAGCTTATAAATGAAGAAGAAAACTTGGTCTGATGTCTTATCTTGCTTTTGAATCATCAAATTTTTTTATTTTTGAATTAGTATTATTGAAAATGTCAACGAAAGGGTTTGTAAATTTCCAAGCAAGTCTATATAATTATTATCATGTATTAAAAATTTTAGAACATATACTCTAAATAAACACATGTTAAAAAATTCCATTAAATAACAATCCTTTGTTTTTTTGGGAGCGTAATGCTTTGGCTTATTATTTCTCTATAATAAATTATTCCTTTGCTTAGTTTTGTGAAGATCTGTAGCAACAACTTACAAGGAAATCCCTCGGTTATTTACTCGGTTTCTTCGACCGAAGAGGATATGCCGGCGCCGAACTTGAGCCGTTGCTAAAAGTTCACTGTTGAATTCCATTTGTTTATTCATATTCCATGTTTTTTTTTTGGTCAATGTCACTGTTTCACATGGCCGTGACATTGACGTAGTCTCAATTTCCAAGACCTTTCACACAATTCGTGTATAAAAGCCGCAAATACCCATTGCTCAACATGCTAAAGTATTTTATTTGCGGAGGAGCAAAGTGAAAACTAATAACGACCCAATTTTTTGTTGACTGAGCTTAGTTTTGGCCTTTGGGTGATTTCGTGAAAGTTGAAACTATAAAGTTAAGCGATATGGTTTTGCTTTCAGAACGCGGAAGTCGAGTAATCTTGCTTCTGTGTTTGTTAGGAACTATAGCTTTATTAAATGGTTCGGGTGTTGAGGCTAGGATTCGCCGGTATAAATGGGAAGTGAAGTACGATTACAGGTCCCCTGACTGTGTAAAGAAACTGGTTATAACCATCAATGGCCAAACTCCAGGTCCTACAATCAGGGCTCAGCAAAATGATACAGTCATTGTTGAGCTCACAAACAGTTTGTTAACAGAGAATGTTGCGATTCACTGGCATGGAATTCGACAGGTATACTTTTACTTAATCTTCATAGTGTACTTCTCAAAGCAATCCACTACACTTCTGAAGTTCTCTTTTTGATTGATAACAGATTGGGACACCCTGGTTTGATGGAACTGAAGGAGTAACCCAGTGTCCAATTTTGCCAGGAACCACTTTCAAATATCAGTTTGTTGTCGACAGAGTAAGTTCCGGTATTCTTAAACCTTAAAGTTTTCCTGTCAAGAATTATACACTGACTTTCAAAGTTTTGTTCAATATAGCCTGGAACATACTTGTATCATGCACATTATGGAATGCAAAGAGAAGCTGGGCTATATGGATCAATCAACGTGGCACTTCCTGATGGACAGTCTGAACCTTTTACCTATGATCATGATCAGAACATCATCCTCAACGACTGGTACCATAAAAGCGCTTATGAACAAGCTGTTGGCTTGTCTTCTATTCCTTTCCAATGGGTTGGGGAGCCTCAGGTGAATACCGCGAGCTAATTTTTACCAGAAATTGCTCAATCCTTTGTTCTAGCAAGTATTTTCTAATGATTCTTTACTTAATTTTCAGTCACTTTTGATCCATGGAAGAGGAAAGTTCAACTGCTCTAAGTTAACTATTCCAACTTTAGACACTGGTGTTTGCAATACCACAAATCCAGACTGCTCTCCTTTCAGGTTGATAGTAGTCCCTGGAAAAACCTATCGATTGAGAATCTCCAGCTTGACTGCTCTGTCAGCCCTTAGCTTCCAAATTGAGGTAATTCTCTTGCGTTTTCCAGTTCAACACCTCCACAACTCTACCAGGCTTGTAATAAGATTATCAACTGGTTCAAATTTTTTCTGTTACTAAATCTGAATGCAAATTGTTTTATGCAGGGCCATAATATGACAGTTGTTGAAGCTGATGGGCATTATGTTGAGCCATTTGTTGTACAGAACTTGTTCATATATTCAGGGGAGACATACTCAGTCTTAGTAAAAGCCGATCAGGACCCTACAAGAAATTATTGGATCACATCAAATATTGTCAGTCGACCAGCGTCCACTCCTCCTGGTCTGGGAATTTTCGTTTACTATCCAAATCATCCAAGGAGATCTCCTCCAACAATTCCTCCTCCTGCCCCTGTCTGGAACAACACCCGCCCTCGGATAGCGCAGAGTCAGGCCATTAAAGCTCGCCAAGGTTACATCCATACTCCCCCTTTACTCTCAGACAGGGTAATAGTTTTTCTCAATACCCAAAACAACATAAGTGGACTTGTCCGCTGGTCTGTCAACAATGTCACTTTCACATTTCCACACACACCTTACCTGATTGCCCTCAAGGAAAATTTAACTCACGTCTTCGATCAAAACCCACCTCCTGATGGATACGATTTCATGAACTATGATATCTTCAAGGCTCCGGAAAACAAAAATGCTACTATAAGCAATCGAATTTACAGGCTGAATTTCAACTCGACTGTGGATATTATACTTCAGAATGCAAACACCTTGAATCCAAATAACAGTGAGACACATCCCTGGCATCTCCATGGACATGATTTCTGGGTTTTAGGCTACGGACAAGGAAAGTTTGATATCTACAATGATCCAAAGAAGTACAATTTGGTGAATCCAATAATGAAGAACACAGTGCCCGTACATCCTTATGGCTGGACTGCTCTGAGATTTAAAGCTGATAATCCAGGAGCGTGGGCATTCCATTGCCATATAGAATCCCATTTCTACATGGGGATGGGTTTGGTATTTGCAGAAGGAATTGAGAAGGTGGGAAAGTTACCCTCTTCTATTATGGGGTGCGGTGAAACTCAAGGACTTTACAGGCCCTAGTAAATGTAGGTTGTGGAATTAAAATTCGAAATAGACAGGTTACTCTTTTGAGCTCTCAATCTCATTTCAAATGTTGAAACTGGAACAATTAGAAGCACTCTCTAACATGTACAATATATTTTTTTTTTGTTTATTTTGTATTCTTTTACATATGTGAAAGTAAATTTTGCTCTTAATTTGTTTCCAATCAATTTTTTGTATTATGAGGTTATGTTTTTGGTTTTTGTGAATTGATATTTAAATTCAATGTTAAGGTTTCTTCTGTAGCTTCTTGTGTAGTGTACCTCTAATCAAGTTGACCAGACCAATTGCACGCCACCCATTATGGCTTCAAATACAAAACTTTGTGCCCTGCTATGTTATGACTTTAGGTTTATTTATTTATTTATTATAAAAGTAAATACAAATGAAAAATAATAGGTCAAGAACAATAAAAAAAACAGAAGATAAATTAAAAAAATAAAATGACAAAAATTTATTAGTCAAATGTAACTTTATTTCTCTCCCCTGGAGTAGTTTGGAGTTTTATAAATGAATGATATTTGTATCTTTTGGTTCGGTTCTCATTAATAATTATACATCATGTTAAACATACAAAAATTTAAAATAAAAAATAATGGAATGATTAATATTTTCATTTTCTATATATTCTTGCGTCTTGCAAATGATGCAACCGTGATTCTAACAGAGCTAGAAAAGCTGAATTTTCTTGATGAACATGAAATAATCATGGAAACCTCTCCAATTTATTTTTTAAAAAATAGAATGAAGCCCTGACCATTTCTCATTGGAATAGTCAAGCGTAATTTTTTTTCTTCCCATCATTTCCTTCCGATAAATTAAATTCATGTTGACAATTCTAAAAAATTCATATCATTACAAGGAGTATATATGATTTTTCCAGTCAACTTTGAAAAGGTGTTGGGCTTTTTTTGTTTCTTTGAAAATTGGACAAATAGATCGAAATTTTCAAAATGAGGGCCTAGCAAAAGATGATAGACGCGAGGTTGCAATTCTGTCGGTAACTAACTGGGATTTTGTATTTTTCCAGTTCTATTATCTGAGCTTCTTGGTATTCCTTCACGTTGTACGACATTTTTTTTATATATTAATTGAGATGGAACAATTCAAATTCAATTTTTAAAAATAAAAATAAAATGCATTTATCATTAATGTTCAATGTAGCGCAATTTTCAATGTTAATATGTTTGTATCAGTATGCGTGAATTTTTACTAATAATGTTTCGTTTGGGTCTTGCCAACCAAGTCATCAAGAAAAGGGAAAATGGGCCACAAGTTTAGTTCTATTACACCTAGTACCTATTAAGAGTAACCTGGACTGGACCAATGAAATAGTAAGGATTTTAAAAAGCCTGGATCATAAGCTACGGACCCAGCTAACAACTCAACAAAGAGTTGTTCTTTGGTTGTGTTAAACTACCAAGGTACCAAAGAAGGTTATTTTCTCTTTAAATTTAAAGAAACAAAATTGACAAGTTGATAATAATATATTTCCAAAAGATTAATCGGGCAAACCTTATGTAAACGTACTATAAATTCTAACTATAATAATGAATGACTTGAAAAAAAAAAAGACTTAAAAAACAAAAAAGAAATGGAAAAACAAAATGATTCCTCTGAAATCTTCTCATTAGTATATGCAACAGCAATACAACCACTCGCCATCCAGCCTAACACTTAACAAACTTTTTTTAACGAATTTTTAAACCAAAAAAAAAAAAAAAAAAAAACAGACTTAACAAACTTTGACTCATTTGACTAAACACAGATTAACAGTGAACCAAAGATAAGGCAAACCTGCACTTCACACACATCAAAGAAACCCTTCAAAGACCATGATGATCTTCAATCTCTGGCATATGCGGCTTAACCTGAGCCGTGACGTGATTGATCTGGCTCAATCCACATCCACCTTGCTCATCCAGAGATTCACAAGCCCCATCTATTCCTGGCACCGTCGACGTCTGACTTCCACCACCTAACATAGAATCACTCGCCCCCACCATCGGATGAACATGAGGAAAGGGCAAATAAATGCTATGCACTATAACATTCAAATTCCTTATCACATCAGCAGCCTTGATCCTCACATAGTTAATCCTCATCATTGGATTGTTTATAATCCCTCCCGCCGTCGTCACCACCAAACTCTGCCCTCTATCCAACGTTGTCAACGTGGTTCCGACTGGAAGTCTCTCTAGATCCGCAATAGTCAAAAACTGGTTTGGCACGATATGGAACCTTATATTGTTGATGTAAGAGTACGAACCGGAGAAGATTGAGGCGTCATCAAGAGCGAAGATCGTGACGTTGTTGAGGGAAACGAGTTCGGCGTACTTGATTTTCATAGCGATTGAGAGAATGGAGAAGCCGTTGTTTCTCAGCCGTAGGATGGCGTCTCGTAGCATGAATTGCATCAGAGCGACATCTTGTTGCTGAGGAAGTTGGTTATTTTGGCTACGATCGTAGTGGAATGGGAAAGAGAGTGACGTCATACGTTCAACTTCACAAGAGAAAGGGGAGAGAGGTGCGATGTAGCCTTGGAGGCCGTGGATTATGATTAGGCCATTGTTGAAGAGATCTGGATGAGTGATTTCAACTCCGCCGACGAAGATTTTGTGAACGGTGAGATTTGTTTGGTTGCTGGAGCTGGAGGTTACGGTTATGCAACGGCCAGGACTGAGAGTTTCAATTTTGGTACCAAAGGTGAGTTTTCGGAGGTAATCGGCTGTGAAGAGGCCGGGAACCATGTGTTCACGGAGGAGGGAAGGGGTGGAGCAAGAAATGCATGTACGGACGGACGAATCGGAGGGAGCAAAGATAGTGTAAGGACCGGACAAAGCGGTGGCGGTGGTGGACTCACTGTAGAGAGAAGGAGCGGCGGTGGCTAGCTCGTTGAAGCCAAGGTGAGAGAGGATTGGAGCTAGGACGGAAGTATGGGAGAAGATCGCGTGGTCCGGAAGATAATCTTGAGGTGGTTGCTGCGCTTGTGAGATTGTGAAGAGTGGTGGCGGAGCAGTGGCGGCGGTGGTGGTGGTGGAGGCGAGAGTTGAGTGGAAAGTGGAGTGGGAGATGGAGAGGAAAGAGAGAGCCAGGAAGATCACGAGATTCAGAGAAATAATCGCCATTTCAGAGAAGCGAAAAAACAGAGTTGTTTGGATTCTTGAAATGGTTGAGAAATGAGGGACTGAGAAAGACTGAGAGAGGAGTATTTATAGGGAGGGGGTGGCGTGAAGGGAGGCGCGTGGTATCGGGAAATGAAGAGCCTGACGGTTTTGGGGGGTGGTTTGTTAGGAATGTTCTTGAATCGTGATTTCTGTTATTTTTGGCGGGAAAAAGCGAAGGAATCAGAGAAACGGCCTTCGGTGTGGTTGCAGATTAACGGTTTATTATTTAGACGAAGCTGATGGACGGATGGATCATCGGACACTTAAAAATTGGTAAGATGATACGGTGATAAAATTCATCGAACGGCTGTCTTATTTTCTGAATCAGGGTAGGGCCAAATGGCCTATAAAAGATTGAGGCCTTCAATAAGGCCCATAAAATCATGATTGAAGCGAACCGAACAAAAGCTTTTGTCCATATCCAACGAACAAAATTTCCCTCCAAGTAGGCCCTGTTTTTTTCCCATCCTTTCCCGTTAAAAAACTGCTTTTCAAAAACTTCAGGTCAAAGCTCCAGATAAAGAACCAAAAGAGAAAAAATGGCTACCTCTGCTTTGACCATTGCAACTGCAAAGCCACTGACCCATCATTTCTCCAACTTTAAGTCCCCTTCTTCACCACTATTTTCCTGTTCTTGTTATTCTTCCTTGCCTCCTCCTCCAAGTGAAGTGAAACTCTCTATGAACTCAAAACCTACAGCCAACAAGTGTGTTTTCAATGTGGGTGTTGGCCTATTAGCAACTTCAGTTCTTGCTTTGTCACCGTTGGATGCCGATGCCACCAGGATTGAGTACTTTGCAACTGTAGGGGAACCTCAATTTGAGCTTAACTATGCTAGCTCTGGTCTTGGTTACTGTGATGTTATTGTGGGGTTTGGTGAGGAAGCTCCACGTGGAGAGCTTGTCAATGTGAGTTCATCTCGAGTTGAGTTCAATTTTGCTTTAAATTATTTGGATTTTTCTTTGGCAATCCTCAAATTTTGGTCTTTGTTGGTTAAGCTTAAGGGCATTTAATTTTAGGTAACTTTCTTCGCTTTTTGCTTGAAATGATAAGATTTTAAACATGTCTGCAAAATTATGCAATGAGATTTTGTGTTCACGTTGCTTTTTTCTAGTGAATTTCGTGATGAATTGGCATCTGGTGCGTGCTCAGTGATTAGACTGATGGGAAACTGATAATCAAGAAATCGAACTCTTTCATTTTGAGTCTTTAAAAGTGCAAAGGCTTATAGCTATAGAGCAGCGCACATGAACATGTCTCTTAGACCAACTCACCTAGCTATGTGAGTGTTGACACCATGCGAATGAGCTTTGGAACCTAAGTTATAGTTTAAATTTTCTGTTGGTTATTGGTTGATGCTACAATTACTGTTATTCAAAGGTGGATATGCACATGAATTAGTTATCATAAACTCATTATAGACTTCAGAAGAAACTTGCCATGACAAGTTTTTAAACACTCAAATGACTCATATTGTCATGATAGATTGCGGAAAATGTACATAACGTTAGTTACTTCTGATTGATTGAACTATAATTATTTTCTTTATTTCCTTCTCTTCTCTGCATAGATTCACTACACTGCAAGATTTGCTGATGGAATAGTCTTTGACAGTAGCTATAAACGTGCTAGACCTCTCACCATGCGAATTGGTCTTGGCAAGGTACAATTTCCCTGAAGATTCATCTAATTCAGTTTTACTGTCAATGTTTTCCTCTTCTTTTCTGGTTGCTTCAACTTAAGTATTTAAATCAACAGCAATAATGCATAGATTTAAAAAGAGAACAATGAAGATTGCCCTTGTGTCCTGGAATTCCAAGGTCATTTATCCTTGTTAATTGTTCATATTGTTCCTTCATTTCAGGTCATTAAGGGATTGGACCAGGGAATTTTAGGGGGGTGAAGGAGTCCCTCCTATGCTTGTTGGTATAATTCTGAAGACAGTGACAATACTTCTGCATATTTCTTTTGAGTATGTGTTTATTTTTTCTAGAGGAATTTTTATTCTGTTGATTTTGACACTGATGGGAAACGCAAGCTTCAGATTCCACCAAACTTAGCATACGGACCTGAACCTGCAGGGTGCTTTTCGGGTGAGTATCCACTATCCAGTGTAACTGGAAGTCTGGAAGTCCACATTCTGCATCTGTGTAAATTTTACATCTCCGAACTTATAAAACCTTCTGTGTAAAAAAAATAATAACTGTTCTTGCAAAACCTTTCTGTCAAAATGCAAATGTAAAAGTTTGGATTTTGGCAAGATAGTTGCAGCAGAAAAGAAAGAAACGAGTCTGTTATGTAAAACAGCCATTGTTGTGACAATTACCTGACCCATTGACTCCATGATGTTCTTTTTACAGGTGACTGCAACAAACCTGCCAGTGCAACTCTCTTATATGATATTAATTTTGTTGGCGTCTACTCAGGAAATGCAAAGTGATGAAAGTCAGTTTCCTTTTTTTTTTTTTTGGTTGAAACATAAAATGAGTTTCCTAACTGTTCAGCTTTATTATCAAACACTGTTGGCTAGAAGTTGCATTTGCAGCTGAGAATTAATCATTCAGACCTCTATAAGCCCATTTCTTTTATTACTTATGGCACACAGAAAGAAGATATATTTGCCACTATGAGTTGGCCATTCTTGAAATTTCCTTTCCATCCCCCATCTTTTTCCATTTTCTTTTTAAAACTTGTCCAAGACCTTGATTTAATAATAATAAGTGCTTCTCTCGTTTGATTCCACTAAAACAGAAGAAACCATTATTAATTTCAAATGACAACTTCAATCCTATGAAAAGCCAATTATTGGAAACATCAAGTCATGTATATTGATAGACAGTTCATTTTTTTATCAAGTCACCATCTATAGGGAACATGTTAGGTACATACTAGGACATGGTGCACATGATATGAGTTCACGCAGGAAGAAGCAATGATATGATGGCCCCCTTTAGATTTCTGATGTATACATTGACCTACATATGATTCCCAACCTATCACACTTTTCCTAAACAATTGCTGATGATATAATATATGTATATTTTACTTGTAAATGACTGGTTAGTTCTCTGTTTCAATGTATAGTTTGGTTGAAATATTTGACAATTTAGAATCATGTATACTTTATGTTAGATACATCTCTTGCTGAGGATGCTTCCTCTATTTTATACACCAAATTTGCCTTCCTTTTTCTAAGTTTCAAAGGAAAGAAGTTCAAATGATCAAGCCTGTTTCATGGGATGGATTGAACCGTAAGCCAGAACCTCCACCTCTGCGAAAAGAATAAGTACCTGTTGCTGACACACTCACCTAAGCTTGTTCGAGGCTGGGAAGAAGTAATTGATCATCCTGATTTATTGAATTAGTTAGGTCAAGTTTCATGCCACTAATACCATAGATTTTCTTTGGAGTTTGGAGCTTGTTTCCTTTTCTTTTTCCTTTTCTTTTTTTCCTTTTCTGTAATGCTTGTTAATTTTCTGTTCATTGTCTGTGAATACCGTCCGATTCTGATGGCGAATCAATATTAGGTGAAGGGAAATTATACTTGTACAAACTTCATTTGGTATAGAGAATTATGTCACTCCACAACTCACCATCAGAAAACCAAATGGGATGTTTATAATCACCATATCTATGTTGTTATGACCGTTCATTCTTAAAAGTACTCACATTCAACACATATCCGACAGACATAGATACGGAAGTTCAATCCTCAAAATATAAGAAAAATCCTTAAAAAAATTGAATATATTCATAACGTAGTGTATATCAGTCATATACAACTCTCTTCTGTATGCTGCTATAAATGAACATTGCATTAGCACCAAATTAAAGCATGCAGTTGAGTTGAAGGAGGATATGCTTTTTCAAACTCTTGGATGGAAGCTATGTTCACTTGAACCTCTCTACTTATTGGAGGAATACATGCCTTTACGCTTCCTTTGGATCCGAGAAAGGGCTGAGGAAAAGGAGAGGAAAAAAAAAGTAAAGAAAAGGAAAAGAAAGTTTGATTCTCTTCTCATTTCTCAATGTTTGCTTGTTTTTGAGAAAAGAGGGCACAACCCACAAGCATGTGCTTTCCTGGGAATTTCTTTTCCTTGTGTTTTTCTCAAGTGGGAATTTCCTTTCTTTTCCCATTGCACATCTTGCGAGCCATATTTATGTGAATGAATTTGAGCTTTATTATTGTTGTTTGCTATTCACATTCTGTTTTTTTTTTCTTTTTCTTTTCTTCTTCTATAGTCCTTATGAAACCTTGTCATACTGCATTCAACATTTTAATTTGTCTCAAAGTCCAATGAAAAGCTTCCTAAATGGAAGTTTATCCATTGAATATGGTCTAAAATGCAAGTTGGGTCCACTTGTCATGGTTCTTCTGCATATGAAACTGAAACCTACAAACAAGAAAAGAAAAAAATTTCAAGAAAAAGTAATACCTCACCATCACTCAAATGGAGAAGCCAGTTTGCACCCAGTTACAATGGTGATGCCGTATAGAGCTCTGTTTCCAAGCCAAAAATAACTTCAGGGCATAAAATTCATGACATTACATGCATAATAAGGACAACAAAATAAAGGCTACAAATACAATAGCTGCAGCTCAGTCTACCCAGAACCCCACATTGACATTGTTTTCGTCATACCTAAAAATCACTCTGGTCCCACACCAAAACTGCTCCTTGCTTGCAGCACCATTTTGAAAAACAAAAAAGGACTTTGATTAATAACTCAATAATCTTCTCTATCCCATTAAAATTTTCTACCATAAAATCCAACAGGGAAAACAAAACCAAAAAAGTACTTACTATATAGGATTTCTTTTTAACGCTGGGCTTAATGATTTTTTTTCATCAGGACATCAATTACTACAGAACCTACATGACAGAACATGCATTTGGGTTTTCATCACTGAACAAGGAGATGTAGGGATCTTCATATCTGGTGACAGTGGCAGTGGTTGCATTTTTCTCTACATTCCTGACGTAACCAGGAGGTGCCTTCTTGTCATAAGCAGGAGCAGCATAAGGCTGGGCCACCAGGTTGTAAGGAACATAAGGCCAAATCTCAGCTCTTTTCCCTGTTGACTTGGCTTTCTTCAACACCTTGTTTGCTTCAACGTATCCTGTTACAGTCACCTTCTGCTGTTTCCTGTTTATGTTCACGGATTTCACTCCTGCAATCACAATTCATTTCATCCCATAGCAATATGTCAGCTTCCATTAGAAGAACAGAGAAACAAAGAAGAGATGAAAAGAAAAGGAAGAAACATATACCACTCAATGAAGAAAGGGCTTTCTTGACCTTGAGTTCACAGCCATCACAATCCATCCTGACCTTGAGCTCCACAGTCTGCAACTGCTTTTTCTTCTTGTATTTATGGCCAGTGCTGCTCATTAAATCAGACAAATACTCCAAAGTGCCTGCAACTCCCATGCTTTTGCTTCTCTTCAAAGCTACCTGCTTCAATGAAAACTCCTAATGAAGGATGTAACTAAAAGTTTCAATGCAGGTTTTTATACTTCTTTGATCAGAAAGGAGAGGAAAACCAGGAAATGCGAAGATGGGTGTTATGGAACTATGGGAATTAATGTGAATTTATATAACAAAAACCAGAAGGAAGTGAGCTAACAAGAAACTGCAAGGGAACTTCCCTGGAAATAAAATATATAAGGAAGGTGATGGGTGATTATTCCTTGCCTTACAGCAAACAAAGGAAATGGTTTTAAAGGCTGCTCTCTTAAAACTTCTTTGCTTCCTATGAGATCTTAAATATGGTTTTCACTCATCAATATTCAAACAGAGAAAAAGTTGTGGGCCGAAAATGATATAAAAAAATATTAAAATAATAGAATTTAAAATTTTAATAAAAATTTAAAAAATATATTTTATATTTGATATATCGAACATAAATTTCACACATATAAATTTTATATTTAATACATATTTAATACAAAATAAATATAATATAAATGCAAGAATTATCCTTTCAAACTCTTATTATGATTTTTTTTTGTTGGCCTTTCCGATTACCGCCAACAGCATGATTTCGGTTCTTAAGAGGGAAAACTCTTTATGCTTAGGCTGGAAATAAGAAAAGTTTAAGGTATTTTGTTGCAGTGCCCCTGCATTGTTTAGTATTTGCTAGATGTGGACAATGTTTTACGGCTGCTACTAATTGGTCCAAATTTCAATGTTGGAAATGAGATGAGATTGGCAATGAAAATCAGATAAATGATTCAAATTTTTAGAGGCTTTTGTTATTTGTGAGTAATTGGCTTCCTTTAGGGACTTTGATATTTGTAAAAAAAAATAAATAAAGGCATTTTTTAATGTTATTTTGATAAACAAATTATGTATTGTAGGCTTGGGCTCCAATTAAGTACTAAGGGATGTTGTAGTTTTTATAATTTGAATTGAAGAAAAATGAAAATAATAATAATTATTATTATTATGTCTATGCAGGAATTAAGGACTTACAAGCAAAAATGAAAACCATAAGTACAATTAGGTGAAATCAGAAAGAGACAAGGATCGCAAGCATAATAACTTAAAAAAATGTGACAGTCTTAAAGTTCAAATAATATAAAATCAATCAATAATCATGAGGAAGGTGAAAGTCGCTGTCGCTGGCTGGTTCCGAAGTGAAATTGCATCACACGGTTGAGAGTAAGATCATATGGTATTCCATGACACGTGGAATAAATCCAAAACGGATATGGTAAAAGAGCAGCTGGCTCCCCATAAAATGTGGGGCCATCTTCTAAATTTGGGGTTTGAGGTTTACGTTTGGGAAGGATTCGTTTGGCCAGCAGGCGCGTCGACAGAGCGGGGATATTTTCGATGCTGCCAGCCACGCGCTAACGGATCTCGTGGAAATCGCATCACTTTGATTTTCTTTTTCTTTCTCAAAGGATTTTTAATTGATTTTCTATTTTCCAAAAGAAAAAAGAATCGTTTTTAACTATAAAATTGATTGATTGCTCGGTGAAATAGGGTGCATTTTTCATTCATTTAAGGTTTTTTCGAATGAAAAATGAAATTAATCTCATTTAAGGTTAATTATTAGGGTGAAAAAGAAATTAAAAAAATTTAAAATGAATTTAAAATAATAATATTCAATTTTGTTCATATTATTTTTTTTATTTATTTCGGATCAAGTTCAGATTAAATGCATATATTAATTTCAGATCAAATTTTTAATCAAAATATTAAAAATTAAAAAAAAATTAAATTAAACTAAATTATATATTTTTATTAATTTTTATATTTTTAAATTTGTATAAAATAAAAATAATTATTTATATATAAATCAATTTAATTTTATTAAAAATCGTATTAAAATAATATATAAAAAATTTAAAATTTAAAAATCAATAAAACAAACCAAATTGAATCATTAGAATTCAGTTCAAATTCTGATCGAATTTTAAAAATTTATAATATTATGTATTATTTGAAAAATTCGAACAAAATTTAATCCGATCTGAATAGTTATTATCTCTAATTAATTATGATACTGATTTTAGTAAAATTAATTTATTATAACAGTAAAAATTAGAATTAAAATTAATTTGGCAATTTCACAATTCCTTTATCAACACTGTTATTAAAAAGGAAATGAATTAAATATTTGTGTTAAAAACCTTCAAGTCAAAATCCAGGATTAAGAAAGGGAAGTGTTCCTTAATTTGGAGAGAAAGAGAAGTTCTTCTTCAATGCCAAGGCTAGCTGGATCAGGTCCCTTTTACTTTAAGAATGCAAGTGGATCTCAAAATGACCTCCCGGGCTACTTTCCTTCCTCTTTCTCTTTTATTTCCCAATTACATCAAGATCGATCAGAATCACATTGAAAATTTTAATCAAGATCTTTACATTCAATTCATACAAATTTTCATTAATATTAAATTGTTACAATGAAGTTTTTAAATTTTATTATTGAAATTAAAATATTATCACACATTAAACTTCATTAATAATATACAAAATAATTTTTTTAAAAAAATTTTTATTCGAAAAAAAAAGGAGAGAATTTGAATCAAAATAACAAACTTTTTGAATAAAAAGATACATGCATCTAATGGTGAAGCTAATGCTTAGACTTCAATCAAATGGAAGTTGAAAATAAGTACGTTCAGTTGGTAAGATATTATTATAAAGCAAACATAAAAGGTGTAGATTAATCCTCCAATTGCTACTTTTAGTACGACGAGCAATGTGACACAGAAGTTTAAAAGAAAAATCCTGCCTTTATGTAACCACATTTTCAACATGATTGATTAGCCTTTGATCATGCAAAAGGATCACTGATCATCCTAGAGTTTAATTAAAACCCTCCAAAAATATCTCACTTTGCTTTTCTGCACAAACCATTTTGTTTTTTTTTTCTTTTTAATTAAAATCCAATTATAATTATGATGAAATGATATGGGGTGGCGGCTTATTTTTTTGTCAAGCATATTGTTGCGGATAAACCATCAAAATTCATTAGCATGACAGTAAATAATTTATTGAAAAATAAATTAAAACATGATCTGATTTTAAGTTAGACCTGATAATCTAAAATACAATATAATGATACTACACGAATACAATATAAAAATATGATATGAATATGATATTACAAATTATCATATCAAATTTAAGCCTATATTTACGGACAAAGATGACGAAAAAGTTTTATCATAATAAACAAGAGGAAGATTACAATTAATTTTGTTCTCAAAACCCTCAATATAACCTTTAACCCGAGAGTATTTCCTCTCAAAAACAAAACTCAATCACTCTCTCTTCCCTTGGCACACTCACTTCTTTAAGAAAGTAAGAAAAGAAAAAGGGAGATGCATGCATGCATGCATGAGCTTTGAGCGTGCCAGCCTTTTGGTTGAATTCTAAACTCATGCACAAAAGGTGCGGAAAGGATTCAAGCATCATCTAATCTATATTTTTATAATGGGTTTCTTTTTTTGTTTTTGCTTTTGGAGTGCTTAGATCAGATTTTTTTTTTCTTTTGCTTTTTAAAAAGAAACTTGGAGAATGGAAAGAAGTTGGGAAGGTGGTACCAACAGGGAAAGCGAAGGCCAAGCATGCTTTTTCCCTTTGGTCATTGTCCTTTTATGAATAATAGACCTATAAAGAGTTCAAAATCTTCCTAATCACCCACTGAAACAGATTTTTTTAAGAAAAAAAAAATGCAGAAAAGTGAATATGGGCTTCTCTTTTTTGGCCCTGGAAAGGAACGTGTACGACAAAAAAAAGGACAGTTGAAAATACACACCAGTAGCAGCACCAGTATCATAACCTTTTTTTTCTGTTGGGCTAGTGATGATGTGGTATGATTGTAAGGTTTTTAAGCTTTAAAAAAATTTGTACATCAATCTGATCATATCACCGAAAACATAACTTCAACTTTGAAAGCTCAAGATCAAATCTGAAAGTAGAAATAGAATTTATAGAATGAAAAAAGATTACTTCATCTTTTGATATCCAAAACCATGTATTCAGACTGGCATTTGTGTTTTTGCAAACCCATATATAATTGAATTTGGTGGCTGTTAACATCAGAGAATGATTGTTTCAAGAATTAAAACAGAACCACATAAGCAAAATTTACCGACCGCACAATTATTAGTTTGACTGTTGTTTCATCAGATTCCCAGACAACAGCTGTTTTTTGGACCTTCTTCTAAATTAAAAAATGTTAGCTATGGCTTTATCAATGAAAATTACTTGGGATTTAGTTTAGGTTGTGCAATTTTTAATACATATGCCCATCTGTTCAATCTAATGGCCATCATGGGGGAAAAAATTGATGGCATCAGACCACCAGACTGCTCCAAATATTTATACTTTATACAGAGGGAAATAAAAAAGGAAATATTAGGATAGTAAAAAAGAGACGAAAAATAGAAAGAAAAGATGGATGTACACGTGTGGTAAGTGAGAATGATATTCAACTGTGGGTGGTGCCAGTATCTAGTGGAAACGATGAAACAAGAGCATGCAAAAGAACCAGCAGCGGAAGCAATTTTGAATAACAAAACTTCGATGATACTAGGTGGGTTGGGGCGGCTGAGGGTTTGGAGGGAGCCTTACCGGCCTGGGCAGGAGCGACTGCTCGTCCACCAGGGGTGCTTTGCTGCTCATTGGTTGGCAATGGATTCAATGGTGTCCCGTTAGGAGAAAGGGACATTCTTTTACCATCAGCAGCTAAATCTTGGCCTGAATATGAAAATTGAGATTTCAGATTGGTTGGAAACAGTACCCAGGTACATAAGCTAAGAAAGACTAGAAAACTTACAATTTGAGGGTGACCAACCTAACTTCATATTTTCCCTATCAAACACCATCCGGTATCCGGTCATGAAATTCTCTGCGGGAATGCATTTTTGTTAAGAGTATAATTAAGATTTCATGTTAAAAATAATGCATGAATGGAGCAGACAACTATGCATGTTTTGCATTAAAGAAACCCAGTAGCATACGTCCAATTGTCGCAACATCACCCTCCACTGGCTGTATGGCCAAACAGAACCCAGAGACTCCCTGCGCAAGGGTCACCAAGTTACGTATTCATCCGAATCAGACAACTTTCATCAATCTAATTGCTACTTTCAAACTACGTACTCCACATTAACAACAACAAAATCAAAGATAAAATCACAATATAGCATGATAGAATATGCTCTTAAATTTGCTAGCTACTGACTGTCAGTAAATTGAGTAGAATCCAAAACATATAGTACAATTAAATTAGTGATAGCTAATATTTCTTCATATGTAATGAATATTTGAAATTCATCAAAAAGAAATTTCACATTTTGCTCTAAATGTAACTGAATTTCAAGAGTAGAACTTGGCTGTTTCTTCTTTCTCACTGTTTTGGCAAGCCTTCTCCAAATTCAGAAGAGGGAAGTTAATATATGAAACAGTCCAACTTTTGCTTTCAATATTTATCAGAATACCATGTTCTTGTCTTTGATCCTAAAACATGATCAAATTCTCCAATCTAAAGAAGGAAAAAGTTTGAAAAAGAAAATCTAGAAACTTCCATGTGGTAAAGAGAGTAAGCACCTGAATGCCATAGACCACAAAAACTGGATTATAGACCACAAAGCTGTTGTTTAAAGGGAACATGAGCTTCAAGTTGGGAACCTTGGGCAACGCCTGTGAACTGTTTGACAAAATAATAAATAAATTATTGTGCATAACACAGTCACACTCTAGGGCCCATATACACAAATTGGAACTATCTAATAAATCTCTGTACTTGAGTAAGTTAACCTGGACTTGTAGCAATATTTCCAGGGATAACCTGGATAGCCCGTGATTGTAGCATTGACTTGTCTGTCAAACTATCAAAAAATAGCAGATATTAGACATCTACTGAAAAAACAAATTTACTCCAAGGAGTTTACTAGGCAAAGATAATACCTCCTTAGCTATTCTCTCATATACTTCATTAGGAAGAAATGCAAAAGATGTTCCACTATCAACCACTGCACTAAAGCCTGTTTGTTTAAGACAAGAATTACCGATACAACAGGCCTCCACCCCGACAATGTAGGTCACACTGAATAAAAACATGAGAATCACAATACAGAAGAGGAAATCTTAAAATCTTTAAGAATTAAGAAATAAGTGAACATTAAGTTAGAAAAAGCAAACTAAATAAAAGCACATAATTGCCCATACTATTTCCCATCCGAAGGCAGGAATTGAGTAGATTGTTGAGTGGTGGGTCCCTTATCCCCAAAATAAATTCTACCAGAATCTTCCTCATCAAAGCACATGGAGAAAGAGTTGCGGATCAATCCTGCTTTTGCAAGGAAACTTGGAACAGAAATTTCTCCAGGTCCCAAACCCATCAAACCATCAGGAGCAACCCCATCCAAGTAACCACCACTTTGCTTCATACCACATCTGCATTCAGGAAAAGATAACAGAAATACTTTCTGGTTAGGTATACAACCATTCCAAGACAGTGCTAGAGAAATCAGCAAATGTATCATATCAAGAAACTAATGTAGCCAGTAATCATCAATAAAGCACCCTATAATGACTGCAGCCTGCACAGAAGTGTTCAATGTATGATCACCGGTTGATGCAAGATGTAATGTATCCTCAACAAGCAATCCAGAACTTGAAGTATTTTCTGTGTAGTAGTCAATAGTGTATGGACATTGCTGCTTTGAACTTTTGCAGTTCGGACTTGATTCACATAACCAATGGCTGCATGGTATGTGCCTGCTAGAGCTTGAACCAGATGGTCTGTACTCGTTCAGATCTCTATCCTGCATAATAGGTGCTCCATATACGATGGAGCACCTGCCAATCAATCATTGGAAATAAGTGCTAAACATGCTATCTGGCCTTACCATAGACTTCACATGCCATTAAAATAAAAAATAATAATAATTAGTCTTGAACCTAGCCAAGCAACCCCTACCACTTTTTCATGTGATGTGGGTGTGCCAAAAATTACCTTCAATGAGAAATTTAAATAACCACAAACTTAATAAATCAATTATTGATGGCACAATTATCAATGAGACACTTGAATAATTATCCATGTAATAAACGCTTAACAAGTTAAAAGATTACTCATAGCGTCATAGGAACAAAATCACAAATTGAGGTCTTTACTTTTTATGGTGTTGTATTTAATGGTCTATTGAGCAATTTTTCTTTTCTTTTTATTTACAGGGGGGAATTTTCCTACATTAGGAAACAGAGATATCAATAATTCTTAAAAGTTAAGATACAAGACAGCAAGGTACTTTTGTTAAAATAGAAATCTATTTTATAGCAAGACTAATATTTATTGAATAATAAAAGTTCATTAACATATGGATTTTATATGTATTTTATGTAATGAATTCCATTTGATGTTTTTACTTGCAAACATATGTTTCTGAGAAGAAGTATAGTATATCTAACAAGGTAAAACTTTTATCACTGCTTATACCATGTGTAATCATCTGATTTTTTTTCAAAGCAACAAATAAGTTGGGTCCATTATAGACAGCAAAAAGCAGAAAAAATTGAATGTAAAAATGGTCATTCAAGTAAGTAATGACTGTTTAACAACATAATCATAGAAAGCTGGCCTACCAGACTACTATAGTAAGTGGCAGACAGTGGAGCACATTGCACACAATCGCATGGAACCCAAAGTAGATCACTTCCCACATCCAATGCAACGAGAAATGAAACATTGGGTGTTCCAATATCAATCCAGGTGTAGTGCAACCTATAATTCGAAACTTAATATAATAAATAATCAAATAAACCGCAATGAATCAACACTCAGTTGATATTTACAAAGATTTTATTCCTAGAGTATAATGTCATATACGGCTTAAAATCACAAATACCAATATGTTAAATTCTCCATTCTCTTTTCTTGTTTTTTTAATGGAAGGGGAGGGGTCTAAAGTTCCCCATTTTCTTAGATTTTCCATCTTTCCATCACTGGTTTTAGGAAACTAAGCCTGACTGATTCCACTTCTATCATATATCTCTATTTGCTTTGGGACACGCTATAACATGTACCCTAAAAGCATTTGTTAGGCAAATATTTTACATTCATTGAAGTGATTTCAATAACATTAGCTATGAACTTATAAATCCATTTACAAAGGGAAAATAAACAATTGCACATAAAAATTGTATATTTGAAGCCCAGTGACTTGCATTGCACGAAGGCAATGATTGTTCATTAAAAACAAAGAAAAAGGAAAGGGAAACAACGAGGTTGACTTTTCTTGAAAGAAAGTCAACATCTTTAGAAAAATAAAGCAAAAAGATTTTTAAAAATTAAAACAAAAATTAGAAACTTAAGCAAATGCAGGTAAATGATCGGTCAAATAGTGGTCAACAACATAGTTGGAATAAGATACTGTAAACTTTTTTATACCATCCGAAGTCATTGCCAAACGACATCGTTTTACTCCCTTGAGAAGGGAAAACGAGATTGTATTTAGGTCCAAGCTTCATATTCTGCCGCTGAAAATCGCTGTTTGCCAGCAACTCATAGTACTCCAAGCTCTTCCTCTCCGGCCACCAAACTCCGCCGCCGTTTCTTGGAACTCTAAGCAACTTCGCCTCATCGGAAAACCTATGAATGAGCCTCGACGAGTACGTAACCACCGCCGCCAGGTCGACGGCGGCAGCCGCCAGAAACGCCGCCAAAATCAGAACCACAGATCCCCTCTTCACCATTGACAGAGATCTAAGATTTATTTTGCAAAAAAAAAAGGAAAAGCGAAAGTAAATTAAAATTGAAAAATGGCAAGGGATGTTTCCTTTTGTTTCGAGGGGGTTTTAAAGAAGAAGAAGAAAAGGAGAAGGGTGCGCAGCGCGCGTAGTGTAGTGAGCAGAGAAAGTGGGAGCGTTGTTGTTTTTGTTAATTAATTGGGGATTAATTTAATTAATTAATTAAGTAATTTTGGTTTAGAGGGGTAAAGATTATGATTAGGTTTAATGAGGGTGGGGTCCGGTGGCGAAAAGGAAAAATAGAAAGGAATGAAAACGAAGGATTGACGGTGAGACATTTTTGTCTGACACGTCTCTTGGGTTTCCAGACGGGGTTGAATTTCTACCGCTGAGTTGGCTGCCTTGGCTTTTGCGGTTTTTTCTGTATGTTTCCTGGTGTTACAAAGGCCCTCTGGAATTTTTGATGTAGACTAGACTAGTGCTTCCATTTGCATGTGACGGCCTATTTATAGGCTAGCTATAGGCCTTGGAAACAAAGCGAGAAACAACATCCTTATTTTCCGCTTAAATTGACAAAGAACACCAAATGGAATACAAAGAATTACTACAAAGCAAAAGGCTTGTGTCCATATGATTCAATTCACCCACGAATTAGAAAAGAATACACATTCAGAAATGACTGTTGGACAAAACATTACACAAGTCAAAATCTCTGGTACACTATTTACACCGGAATGATAAATAAACCCGCATGGGAAAGGAAAAGGTGTTCCCTACTTGATCATATAAATTTCTCCCCCCCAAAATTTCAATTTGCGGAAAAAGTAGTTACTTCTGTCACTTGTTAGACCACTGGAATTCTATTTCCAAATTCCGTGACGGCCCACTTTTACTTTCAGGCAACAAAGTATACTCGCCGGCAACTGCTCCCAGCATTACAACCCGATCAATTTGGATCGTAACTTTTCCGAAGGAACTCTGTTGTAAAAAGAACCAAAAAAATGAGAAGAAAATTCTCTTAAAACACCCAAACCAACCATCAACAACAAAAGAGAATAATTCTTTATGATATGCTGCTTACCTTTCCCATTTTGCTCTTATTCTTGCAAGATATGTGCAGCTTCTGGCCTTTTGGAGGACTCTCAAAAGTCCATGCAAAACTTTCGTCCCACTCTGGATTAGGGCCAGTCGATACAACCTGACAAGTGACAAATAACTTAGGATGACAGAGAGGTCAAAGATAACTAGCAGAGAATATTTTCAAGTGATTTTCAAACCAGCAAAAATAGACTAAATACATATTCATTCAATTTGGTTATCCAGCATACAGACCAAAGTTTAGGACACAAGATTGATTCATATCAAAACTCTTCCTGACCAAGAAAGCTTGAAGATCAAATGAATATTAAAAATCCCTTTCATCTTACTCTTAACTTGTAAGAGTTGGTTTAGAGATTTGAACGCAACCATCAGTAATATCATGTATCCGTATCCTGGCAGCTGTTTAGAGAACTTTAAGTCACCATGTACCAGTCATTTTTGAGGAAATTAGTTATGAGGACTAAGGAGTTGCAGCTCAAACAGTGTCGGAATATACAGGCTACCTGGAATCTCATGCTACTATTCAAAACTAATTTAGTTCTACCAAATAATTGGGTGATAACTGATAAATTCAGAAAGAAAAGTTCCCTAAGTCAAATCACAATAAGATAAACAGGATGTGGAAGGAAACGGAAGCATCCTACCTTGGTTTGCCGAGGTGGAGTGTTGCCAAGTGTAAGTTTGCAAAAAACACTAGGGTTTCCTACTGATTGCTTCATATTGTTGCCACGCTTGATTATCACCAACAATGTCCCAGGTAAGCACTGCAACAGAAATTCTGCCTTCTCCTGAAATCTAGGTGGGCCAGACTGGATTAAGTATTGCAGCAATGGTATTGCATCTGCAGCAGCAACTGATTGAGCTCTTGAAACTTCAGCTGGGCAAGCCGACCAAGCTTGCCTGAGTAGAAAAAGAGCATCCAAAGCAGCTTCTTGGGTTGCCTCAGAACCTGTTTTGAGGGATGTAACCAAATGGGGAATGCTAAGTGTTGCAGGCTCAGTTGCTCTCAAACGTGGGAAGTTGCTAAATAAAGAATTTAGAGCTTTTAGATACTCCTCATTCACAGTTCCAGTGGCCCATAAATCCTTTTCAATAGCAGCTGCAATATATAGATAGAAGTTACTGCATGACATAAGCAAAAGCTTGCATGGAAAGGTTATCAAAATAACAAACGATTACCAACACCATTGTAAACCAAATGAAGAAAAGGAAAAACAAATTTATTTCAAGGTACTGCTGGTCTTTGAACAATGTATGTTGTTTGTCACTTCTCATAGCTCAAGACTTGCCAATGATAAAGAAAACTAAGGTGCACACACACCACACACACACACACGCAACAAGCACTGTGAATATTGCTCACTAAGGCAATAAATGGGTCCAAAAAACAGACAATTTACCATCCAGCTCATTTTATTTAGCTGCAGAGCAACAATCAGAATGTAAATATATTTTTCATGAACTATGAAAACAGTAAAAGAATTTACAGTTGCAATTATTGCATCAGTAAATCACATTTTGGGTTCTATAACTCTGCTCACTGTAAGTGATATGTTATGGTGATATCCAAAACATTTTAAGGAGGTTGTGTCCACAACCACAAGCACCCTCAATCAGTGAGAGTGCCGTCAGAATTACTAATCAAACTGGAAGCATAAATTGAACTAAGACACTAACATCAACATAGGCAACCATTACAAAGGAGGCTCTTCTAAAATGTTACAACCATAAGGTTTGTGAACCATACTTCTAAAATAAGAAAGGATATGAAATATAACAAATCAGCAGGCATGGCAACGGAAACTTTCATAAACTATAGATGTACTTTTAAGTGACTTCCTCATATTAGCCATCCATATAAACTAAATTCCAACAGAGTTAGGGAACTTACCAGTTATGGCTCTGACCGTTTCACTAGAAGCATACTCTTGAATGGTATGGTTAGAAAACAGAAGTTTAACAAACATTGCAGCCTGAATAGATGTCTCTGGATCACTTGAACCTATTAGATCCAATACAACCTGAACACCACCACCCTCAGCAACTGCTCTCTTATTTGATCGGCTGTACATTACAAGATTTTGCAAAGCACATATGGCTACCACTTTCATTTCTTCTGTTGGTTGCTCTTCAAGCACATTAACAAGAGCACGACAAGCTGAAACAGCATCAGCACTTCGAGCAAGTGCCTCATTCTGAAAAAGGTCACCAAGAGCCAATGTTGCTAGTAACCTTGCCTGCTGAGCTTGGGTTTGTGGATCCAAGAGATACTGGGATAGTGGTACAATTGCAGTTTTAGTAGCTTTAGTTTCTCTAATCTTCACATTATTGAGTAATACTTCCAGCAGTCTTGCAGCTGTTTCCTCACACTGATGAGATCTGAGAAGTTCTAAGAGAGCCTCTATTGCACCACTCTCAGCCATCGCTTCAGCGCTGGTTCCATCATCACTTTCTAATACCAAAAGAGCATTCAATGCTCCAACCACAGTGGCCTCCGAGCCAGAACGGAGCAACTTTACCAAAACAGCTACAGGAACTTCCAAATAAAATTCAGAACTGAATTGCAGAATGCTAGCTAAAACAGAGGCAGCTGATTCCCATAAAGCATGTGGGAGCAAAGGATCAGCTTGCAATATTACTTTGGACAGCTCACTGACACCAGCCTCTTTTGCAATTTCATTTGGCCATATTAGTGCAATGCTAACAAGAGCCTTCACAGCTCTCTGTTGCAAGATATGTATGCCAGAACCAAGAATTCTTATAAGGGGACCGATTATTTGCTGCGTAACTGCATCCTTCTGAAGATGTTCTTCCAAGAGCAGATGTGATAGAAGCTCTGCTGCCAACTGCTGAACAGCTGGAGCTGAAGAATCAAGAAGTGGGATAAGTGGTTCTATAGCTTGGTGAGAGGTCAGTGTATAATCAGCACGACACTGTGGATGCTCCAGAATATTAACAAGGACCTGTAATGCACTATGCTGTCCATCAGGTCCAAATTCTGGTCTTGACAGCAACTGAAAAAGGGGTTCAACCACTTTCGCAGCAGATGGTCCTTTAGCGATAGTAGCATTATTTGTCAGTATTCGGAGCAATTCTGCAAAAGCAGCACACAGGAAATCTGGCGCTTCATGAAGGACATCAAGTATGCTTTCAATTACTCCAGCTTTAACCATTTCCATCTTACAAGCAGGCCTGTCTTTCCCTAACTTCACAAGTGCTCTTGAGATAGCTTCATGAAGCATGTAATTCTTACCATACAAAAGGCCAACAAGAGGTATTACAGCACCATGTGCGGCAACTAGTTCTGCCAGTTGCTCATCATCCACAAGTTTATCTAATGCACGAACTACTGAATGTTGAGCAGGACTGAACTCAGTTACAAGGAGAGACACTAGAGGCTCAACACAATGAGCAGCAGCCATAGTGGACCTGATTCTTGTATTTGCAAAAAGAACACAACACAACTCAGCAGCATCCCCCTTCAGTTCCATTGTACAATTTGATGAAAGGATTCTGCAAAGAACATCCACTGCATTCATTTCAACATCTGCAACTGCAAGGGCTCTAGAAGGATTTTCACTCAACAACCTAACTAATGCTGCAATAGCAGCATGCTGCTCTCTCTCCATTCCAGTATTAAGAATCTCCACCAAGGGTTGAACAGCTTGCCGGGCAGTCTCTGCATTTCTGATATGGTCTGCAGAGAATAGGCTTTCCAATGCTTTAGCAGCACTATACCTAGCAGCTCTTCCTCCAAGACGTAAAACTGCTACAAGTTGGCTAACAGCTCCAAATGCAGCCTCATGTCTTCGAATTTCAGCACTGCTAAATAGGATCCCTAATAGATCAGTAGCAGCTTCCTCGGTTGCATCTTGAGGGCTGAGAGAAAGATACTTAGTTAGTGCTTCTAAAGCCCCTGATTCCACCATAACAATCTTATTTGATGGACAGTCTTTTGCAAGCTGAGTCAGAAGTCCAAGTGCCAGAAAAGGTGCACCAGGACGGTCTGGCATTGGTTTAAGTAGATCAACAAGGGCAGGTATTGCTTTTCGAGAAGTAGCACCAACCCTAATGTCTTCAACTCTAAATAACCTCTCAAGAGCAACTTGATCTGGGTAGCGTACCAAAGCAAACTCTTCGGACAAGTCAAGAAGTTCTTGAATATCAACATCAGCACAGCCAAGCAAGGAGATAAGTCCACCAGCAGCCCCTGAATTTGCAACAGAGAGAAGAGTCCCTCTGCTACCATTACAGACTAAACTGGCCATTGCTTGTGCAGCAAAATATCTATTCGCTGATACCTCAGACTTCACTAAATTTGCAAGTACTGGTATAGATTTCATTGTTGCATGTGCTCGAATGATATCTCTATCTTGAAATAAGATTGCTAGCAACAATGCACAAATCCATATGCTGTTATCTTCCTTAAAATC